TGAATATGAATTTCACGTATTATACCGCCAAATATCAAATTGAAATTCGGTTTCATTCTTTGTAAATAAAGGCTTCATTATTCAGTTCTTTGTTTGTTATATGCAACGTTAAGCCGTGAATATAGAGACATAATCAGTGAGAATAATAAACACGTAAATATTAAAATGAATTCACGATTGTTAATGTTAAAATTGTAACGAATTATTCGCCACTTCAATGCACAGTGCTCGTGTCGAGATTATTGGAAACACAATTTAGCTGGACGTAATTTTCCCTCCGATATTAATTTTGAGCGGGCCGAGTGCAAACAAAACGCGCCAGCAGAGTTAACCCAGCAAAAACCGTTGAATTAGACGGAAGTGAAGATTATTTGCGTAAAGGATAAATTTTCCAGTTCGTAGTCGAGAATAAGTGGAAATTTGATTTTGCTCGGTTTTAATTATTTCCACTGAGCGATCACAATCTCTTGAATTTTATAATTTTTTGCAGAAGAGATATATTTATATAATAACTTGCTGTACCAATGCGTTGCAATGCCGCTGAAATTCCCCAACATACATTGGTTTAGCGTGGTGGACTATGACCATGACCGTCTCCGTATAGAAGACACGTGGCCAGCAGTGGTATTCAATACTTTATTTTTATTGAATATCAGGATATTTTTTCTGAAGTATTTAAGGATACGACTTGACCTGACTATACCAACTACCTGGCTTCCATTCATCCAAATAACCCTAACAAAAAGTCACCGATGAAACAAAAGTAATCACCAACCGACGAAGTCTAGCCATTGTAAGTTATAGTCCTTCTGCAGAGTTGGTTGTTTTGTGACTTAGTCCTGATGCTGATTAGGTCATTTTGAAGGCATACTCATTATGATACCGACCGGTTTTAAAACTACCATGACATTCATCTACTTTGCTATTATTATTGATACAATGGTCCAAAGTCAACAAAAATGCTAAACAACCAAAGTTAGTTTAATTTTATACAGTACACAAACAGAAGGAGAAAGTATTGCTCGCACTCCTTGCAAGGTTGCCCGGTTTGGACCACTTGAAACTATCGCCGCCAGATAAAAAAACAAAATATACATGACTTACGATCGAAAAAATGTTTTTATTATTAGATTCAGACGTTACATTGCTGAAATCCATATGGATAAAAGTGGAAGTAAATTGATTTGCTACTCTGCGAACCCAGTGATAATTTTAGTAATTTTTATAATAATGATTGTAAAATATTATGATGTTTTACTACCATGATATTTGTTTTTTTTATGAAATTACCCCAGTTTGTTATAATTATTAATACAAAGATTGGAAACAAAGAAAAATTCCTTCGATCTGAAAGATCCCGAACCTGTGTTCGGATTGGAATTGAATTCATCACCACCTGACACGTGATGTCAATACATCTACAATTAACACTTACCTTTAGCAGTAACAGTACTATGACAATAGCGGACTTTACACAGACACTCTAACGCGTGTGATACAGCAATCGTGCGGAATTGAGCGTGCGTTCGAAGACGTAGGACGGAAAAGGGAAAGACCGAGCGATTGCGCTCATCGGTCTCGCGCACAATAGCGCCCTTTACACACTCACTCTATCGAGCGTGATCAGGAGCGTACAGTATTGCGCGTGGGAAAGCCTGCGCGGTTACCTGTTTGAAGATTTTTCAGCTAACGTTCTTTCGCGCGCGATTGCTCGTGTTCGTTGTTATTACAACGGAAGAGCGTCCGTGTAAAACCCAACCTTGGAACGCATGATTGCGCCAGGTGACTATTGAGTGCAATTGCGCAGGCTTTCGCTTTTCCTTCCAATCCCTACACGCGCTCACAATCGCTCACTGCTGTTGCACAATTGCTGTATTAAGGCTGAAAGATTGTCTGTGTAAAGCCCTATATTCGAATATCTCAACACGCGCCAGTTTTACGCGGTCTATCCTATGCTATAAGCCTTTACACAGACGCTCTTTCCGTTGTAACAAAAACGAACATGAGAAATTGCGCGCGGAAGAACGTTAGCTTAAAAAAATTCAAAGAGGTGATCGCGCACTTGCAAACTCGCTTTGTGCTTTATTTAATTTTTAAAAGAACTGTATTTATAAAACATAGTTCAAAACATTTACAGTTTAGTTTCTGAGAAAAAGAGGTAGTTGTCGTATATTAGATTAGATAATATTATATAATGCCACAGTACAAATTGCACCACATGTTAAGTAGAGTTCCTTGTGAAAGAGTTCGTCCTGGGAAGTACTGCCAATCTACCCATTTCTGCTACCACGCAATAATGTGAGCATTACTGCGTTCCGGTTTTGAAGGGTAAGGTGTTAGTGAAATTATAGGCACATGGGACTTGTCAACTTATGTCTCAGGGTAACAGGTGTAGTGGCAGTGCTTCTCAGATCTTTACTATTTAAAGCTCTGAGCGGCACTGCAACTATTATGGACGTACACGACATGTCCGTCCCGTCATTTCATATCATTTAGAAAATAGTTATTTTTAATACAGTTGCTCAAAACGTGGTATTTTTCGCACTACAAATCGTGCGGAAAGTTGGATTTCTTGCACTAGTGCTTTTTACTTTTCCAGTTTTTTTTAATTTACTGTTGTTTTAAGTCTTAAACATAGAACTAAAGAGATTGTATATTTATTTCATATTTATGTGCTTTGTGACGTAAGTCATTCGTCATTACTATACTATATCTATGGAGAGACCGCATTTTTACACCTATGAAGTAAATGCTCCTTAGTAGCGATTATGTAGAAAATAAAGTAATATAAACATTATAATATGAAATAGTAATTTTAATGTGGCTGAATACTGGCAACAGTTGCCATATTGAAAAAAGTCGGCCAAAAAAAGTACTAATTTTTTTCATTGTTTACATTCCCGCCTTTTTCATTTACTTTTTTACGATTTGATTTTGTTATTGACAAAGGAATAAAATGAAGTTTTTTTTTAAATACTGTTTTATTTTACTTTCAATGTAGGTTTTTCGCAAATGTATTAAAAAACGTTGTTTGATACACATGCGGATTTGTCATTTTCACTTGTCTCGAGTCAAGATGCCTCGAGACTCGTGAATAATGACTAACTTTCCGCACTTGTATCAAAAATAACTATTTCGTATCAGAACCAGACTTCGCGACAGTTTTAAAATTGTAATGTGAATTGGCTAGTTTAGAAAACTTTCATTCTTCAAATTTCATTCATTCATCAAAGTTATTGCCTATCACGTACTCGTAAGGCCCACGGTGCACTTGTTAATTACCCTTCGTCGGTTTTATTTTCATTTTACGACTTTATTATTTTTTACCCTAGTCCGGTATACAACATATAGCGGACTCGTGTTGGTGGGGTTAAGCGGATTAATTAGCTAGGATTGGCGAGGCGATGTCCTCATGGCTACGCTTTTAGTTCGTTTTAGTTTTCGATTGGTGCTAGAGATTCCTGTTTCAATTAAAAATTAGAATACTTGCTATCTTTCATGCTTCTACACGAGTGCAATAACATGGTATTTGCATTACATGGTGTTTGGCGTCTTATATACATAGGTAA